AAAAGAATAACGATCAAATTTTTAATTGGTCTCAGAATTTATGAGAATAGTTATAAGCCGATAAAATTTATCGGCTTGACCGATTAAGGAATCAGCTAAACCATCCAAGGAAAATTCAGCAAGTGGCTTCTTTGAATTCATTTAGTTAAATATTATAATTACGCGACTTTTTCTTAAATTTTTTGATTAGTCTCACGCGAGAGAATAAAAAAATATATATATCTTTTAATGAACAAATTTAAAACTTTGCAAAGTGGATTTCATCGATTTATAGCTTTTTTTTTTCTAACACGACGTGTACTATAAATAGTTATCAATTCCGAAAGTAAGAATATTCACCGGCCCTCGACGATCTTAACTCTAATTTCGCGATATAGATTTTTGTCGAGATTCCTTTTTTTTTTTTATATGGACTTTTTAGTATAGATCCAGCGGGTGATGAATTTCACCTCATCAAAATGGCAAAACAATAACGTAAAATTTTTCTATTTTAGTTTATTTCACATTGTCTGTGATAAACGACATTTAATTATGATATTTTAATTATTAATATTATTATGTTTTCATACATGTTGTCTTTAATCAGAGACAAAGTTAGATTACGTATATATGTCACATCTCATTACATCACATTACTAGCTATATGCACATATGCATCCGAAAAAGTACATCGGGATCAGCTAATCCGTTTTAGATGATTTTAGGTTTAACGTCAAATGGATTTACGTGCATATGTACGTACAAACTGCCGTAAATATAATGTGGTTCTTCCGCAGTAACGAAATAAAAATTTAAAAATGGTGGCAGTGAATCTTTTAAAGTTGATATTTTATATATAATTTCGGGCTCAAATGACTGCTACTAACCTTAGCTTTCGTTTGAGCTTAGAATAATCGTTCATTTGAATAAAAATTCGTTGAAAAGAATTTCCTATTCTTGAAATATTACGAGACATACTAACGTGCTTTCGTACAACACTAAATCTTAGCTGACTAAAATCGAAAAACGA